TAGCCCCCTTTACTTCAGAAAGGCTGAATTGAAACCGGAGGTCGCCAGGTATATTATAGTTATTTTTTAATTAATATTTTTAGATATGATAGTCGCTTTTTCTATTCAAATATTCAGTAATTCATTTATTCGCAATACTTGCGTAAAAAAATACAAACATCTTATTGATACTTGAAATTTAGATGGCGCTGGCACGCCTGCCTTGAGCTTGCTCCGCATTTGGCGCTGTGAGTATGGAGGTTTTTTTCAAATAATTGGATTTTAGGTAAAAAATGGACAGTTTTCAAAAAATAATTGTGGAAAAACTGTATGTACGATTTTTATGATTTTAAGGTTTTTGGAAAGGAAATTTTATTCACTTTGAAGAAAAACTAATTCCATTACGGGACCATTTTTGCACGCGCGGATATAATGATTACACTAAAGTAAGCTAAAAGAAAGTGCTATTTTTTATCAATTTTTTATGATAAAATTAAAATATCTAATTGAGGTTTTAAAATTGTATTTTGTGATGTATTTGTGAACATTTTGCATTTTTACTTTTTTGATTTGGATGATATTTAAGCAGTTTTGATATCGAACTTTAAATCGATTTTGCGCAAATTCTGTATGTACGATTTTTCTGGTTTTTACTTTAATTGAAAGCTTGTTTTATTACCTTTCAGGTGAGTATTCGAGCATGTTGGGGCCGTTTGTGGTTGTTTTTTAATTATTTTTTAAGTAAAAAAAGTCAGTTTTTTCAAAAAATTTGATTTTTTTATTATTTGAATATCTCAGCTACTACTCAACATACAGTTATGAGATATATACCAAATGAAAGATAATTGAATTTTCTATCTAAATTTTATTTCAAACTTGGTGAAAAAGCTTAAATTTGGCTAATTTTGACAAATTAATAAACTTAGAAAAATTTCGTGTTCCAATTCCGGCTTGGTCCCCTCAGCGTCGTTGTTATCGTAATAGCTGAGATATTCAAAAAATAAAAAAATCAAATCTTATGAAAAAACTGACTTTTTTTACTTAAAAAATTATTAAAAAACAACCACAAACGGGACCGACTTGCACCGATACTTATCTGAAAGGCAATAAAACAAGCTTTCTCATAAAGCAAAAATAAAAAAAATGGTATGCACAGATTTTGTGCAAAATTGCATTAAAGTTCGATATCGAAACTGCTTAAATATCATCCGAATCAAAAAACTAAAAATGCAAAATGTTCAGAAATACATCACAAAACACAATTTTAAAACCTCAATTAGATATTTTAATTTTATCATAAAAAATTGTTAAAAAATAACATTTTTTAGCTTACTTTACTGTAATCATTATATCTTCGCGTGCAAAAACGGGACCGAAACAGAATTAAATTTCCTTTAAAGACAATAAAAATTCCTTTCCAAAAACAGTAAATTCATAAAAAGCGTACTTACAGTTTTTCCACAATTATTTTTGAAAAACTGTTCATTTTTTACCCAAAATCCAATTATTTGAAAAAAACCTCCACCCTCACAGCGCCAAATGCGGAGCAAACTAAAGGCTGGCATGCCAGCGCCATTTAAATTTCAAGTATAAATATGATGTTTGTATTTTTTTATGCAAGTATTGCGAATAAAAAAATTAATGAAAATTTGAATAGAAAAAGCGACTATCGTATCTCAAAATATTAATTAAAAAATAACTATAATATAAATCCAATTGCACGCGAAAACCTTTAAAGATAATAAAACACACTTTCAATTGCAACATAAATCAAAAAGATTGATTTTGTCTTCACCCCAGGAAATTTAATCAAACATGAAAATTATTATTTCTTTTAAAACACTTGTTTTTAAAAAAGTAAAGATGAGAAATGTTAAGATATACAATATAATGCATAATTGTAAAATATCAACAAAATATTTCAATCATATCATAGAAATTTCAATAAAAATAAGGAATTTTTTTCATGGTATGCATTATTTATATATGGAAACAACTTTTCGTGCATAAACGGCCCCTCAATCATCTATACATCACCATAAAGATGAAGAAATTCCTTTTCAAAAAGCTAAAAAACTTAAAAATCGTGCATGCAGTCTTTTTATAATCATTTTTTAAAAATTTCTCTATTTTTTATCAAAAATTCAATTTTTTTAAATAAATAAATTGTGTCAGAGCGCCAAAAGCGGAGGAAATTCAAAGTAGATGGAATTGTTCGATCGAAATTTTGAGTCTAACAAGAACACTTATCAGTGTTACAAACCATTTCTTTTTGGAAATGCTTGATATGTTTAGAATCTGTCAATGTTTATGCAAAAAAAATTCAGTGGCGGAATAAAAAAAGGGAAAGCAATTTTATAACACTATAGCTTTCTAAACTCTTGATATAAAAAACATATTGAACATATAATTAATGGAAATTAAAAAAGAAGGAAAATATATAAATAGATAAAATAAAATTAAAATTTATTTAGTGAACTATAAACAGGTGACATGTACTAGAATCTGTCAATTAGACAAATTATAAAATTCGTATCAGATATAAGACAATAAATAAGTATAAAAAATATACAATTTTATGTTGATGTAGTTTTCATATTTTACATGTTAATTTTTATCCATAAAAATTAAAAAGCAATCACATTTTTAATTTATTTTAATTTTATATGATTATATTTGCTTTTACAAGTATTTACTTTTAATCAGACTATGTATGTATGTGCATAGGTATAAAATATAGCTAGCGTCACAATAGTTTCACGTATTTTTTCTATAATTTATTCTTGTTGGGTTGTTTTATAAAATAGAACTATTCTTCTTTCTACTAATCTAGGATTGCACGCAAAATTTGCGTTAAGCGCCGGACAGACCGGTGAGGAGAAAAAATATTTTCTCACAAAATAAAAAAAAATCAAAAATGCTGTTAGGCGCTGGACTTAACTTACCATCCATACGTATGTACGTATATTAGGGATATATATATGTATACATATATGTACATATATCAATTTTATATTTTACCTATTTAAAGGTGTTTGCATTGTTTTTTTAATATTACTTTAATTATTTAAAAAATTTAATGTTTAATTTATAACAATATACATATTTACAATATATTAGAATAGTAAGCTTACTTAAAATTTATACCTTTTGTTAATAATTTAATTTTAATATAACTAAATAATTTAGTTAAATATATATTAATATAACTATATAAGTATATCAAACTGAATATTAATTAAATATTATTTAGAAAGCACCAGCAGTGGGTGAAATAAATATTTGTATAATTTTGTTATTCGATCTGTTCGAAACTTGTAGACAAAAGTTAAGACACTTTCACAAGCAAATATAAACATATAAACCCACCCTCAGGATGCCAAAAAATCTTTCTACTGAAACCTCCACGGGGGTGCCGTCTGGTAACGGGTCACACAGTTTTCTCGTCCTGTACGTTGTCAGGACGGTGCCCAGCTAAGATCAGGAGGAATTGAGTGAATGTCCTTAGCTCTTTAATAGCTGCACACCACTCAATGCTTTCTGATCATGGTTTGAAAGTCCCCTTAACTCGGGAGTGTTACGCGATCCGTGCTCACCGAGTGTAGGTTTGCAGTCAAGGGGTCTGTCCGACTGTATTTTTGCGGAGCCTCTCCAATATATGACCGCCTTGGGGAGTAACTGTGGTCTAGCCATGGTATGGGGCGCTGCTGTGGTGGTCGCTTCTTTCGTTCAACTATCCTCGGGTCCGCCGCGCCTGTCTTACCGGGTAAGGTGGACGATTATGCATATGATATGAATTTTTCCGATAATGTCTCGAAACTCGTGGCTGGAGAGTATAAACCCACCAAACTTACGGAGGACGAACTGTTGAAATCGGACGACGAGATCGTTGCCGATTCCAATACCGGTTGTACCAGTCACAGTACACCGGCGTCTAATCCAATCCAATTAACATCCAAAAAAATCGACAGCACTCCGTCTACCAGTCAAAGTAGACCGACTGCCAACCGCATGCCAACGCTTAAAACTGCCAGTCTTAGCATTAAGGGCAATGCTAAATCACGAAAAAAAAACGGCCAACATGGCACGCAAAAATCGATATCAGCGGGCGCTTTTTATGCTAAGAAAAATTGAAAGCAACAAAAAAGAAGGCAAGGTCCATGAACGAGACGAAGCCGACGCTGTTAAATACCGCGCCATTGTGGAGGAGTATCTTCATGATGAAGGTCTGCTCCAGTCTGTTATCACCGGCAAGAACGTCGGAGATGGCGGCAAGCGTAACAGATCTCAGGAAGATCCCGGCAAGGAGGCGAAGGGACACAAAGATGGAACGGGGGTTGGAAAGCTAATGTCAAGACCGGCACAAGCTATTTGTCCCTTCAGTGAAGTGGCGAGAGACCATCTCAGTGTGGCCTTGATCGACGAACACAACTCTAACGGCAAGCTGCTGATGGAGAGGTAGGCGCTGATTGAGACCAAACTGTCCGAATTGGTTATGGCTTAGCTCATGACTAATCCGGGGTCCGTTCCTTCTTTTGACTGTGCAGATATCGTCCGTGGTCACCGAGTGATCAGATGTGACGACGAGTATTCGCGGAGTTTTCTCAGCAAGGCGATCACTAAGATAAGTGAGAACTGGGACGGTTTAAAGCTCAAACTTGTCCCTGCGGCGGAAATTCCATGGAGGCCTCGAGCGCGCGTATGGTTACCCAAAAACCTTGGTCCTCCTGACCTTATTCTGCAGCAGCTAAAGCTACAAAATCCAGAAATCCAGATGGAAGACTGGTCGGTTCTCAAGACCGAAGAACCGCAAAAACACAGTCAATCATACTTACTTCTTATCAACGAAGAATGCTTGCCAGTCATTGAGGCTAATGACTGCAAGCTGCGTTACGGCATCCGGAAGGCAAAAATTAAAATCTTCAAAAATGCGCCACCGGATAATATTTTGGATGAGGTTGAGGGCACTAGTAAGCTGCTAGATGACCTCATCATCGATAACAAACCTTGTTAATGTATCAATGGCCAAGATCGTGCAGATAAACCTGAAACACTCTAAGTGTGCCACAGACAATCTGGCTGTCTTACTCAGGGAGGAGGACATCGACCTTGCCATCATCCAAGAGCCCTGGGTTCATAGCTCATGTGTCAAAGTGCTCAACATCAATGGGTATAATCTTTTTTATGATAAAGGACAGGGTAAGCCAAGATCGTGCATTTTAGCAAAAACGCACCTTAATGCTTGTCTCTGCTCTCATTTAAGTTCTTTAGATATCACCACCATCCGGATAGAGCGGAAGCTAAAACCTGCGGTTTTAGTAACATCCGCCTATGTGCCACACGATGATGAGGCTCCTCCAGAGGGGGTACTACTAGTCCAAAATTTCGCGCAGACCGAGAAGCTAGCCTTGCTGATGGGTTGTGACCCCAATGCGCGGCACTCCTTGTGGGGAAGCTCGGAAATTAACGATAGAGGTGAGTCTCTTTTTGATTTTATATTAAGATGTAATCTGGAAGTATGTAATAAGGGTAATACTCCCACCTTCATTTTTCCGAGTACGGATGATCATGTAGGCTGGGAAGAGGTTTTAGATATTACCCTTTGTTCAACTTCGTGCTTTTTAGCGATCAATGATTGGAGAGTTTCAACCAGGAACTCCTTCTCTGATCATAGATATATCATGTTTGTGATGGATATTCCCCTGGTAGCTAAGCAATCTCACCGTAATCCCAGGAAGACAAACTGGGATACATGTCATGTCCTCGCTCGTATGCGAAGAAGTGGAGGCCACCATGGTGGAACGAGAAGCTCTCTTTGCTCCGCAGGAATGCAAGAAGAGCTTTCAACGAAAGCTATCGGACCAAGGTTTGGACTCCATATAAAGATGCTCTTAGGGTTTACAAAAAACCACTTCGGGAATCCAGGAAATTGTCATGGAATTCTCATTGCCAGCAAATTGAAAGCATTAAAGAATCGGCTAGACTAGCCAAACTGCTAGCAAATGGCCACTCTTGTTTCTCTCTCATTAACAAAGTAGATGGAAATCCAGTTAAATCCCTAACGGAATCCCTCTCACTATTAGTTGATACCCATTTTCCTGGCTCCTCGGGTGATCCCCCAAAGGTATTGCCGTATCGTTTAGCCAATTCTGGCGAGACTGTACAGTCAGTGGTATCATCTAGAAGGATCAAATGGGCCATCGATTCCTTCTCTCTATTTAAAAGTCCGGGTCCTGACGGGATCTTACCAATTATGTTACTATCTCTGGGAGATGGAGCTGTAAACTGGCTGTTCACGATTTTTTGTAGCTGCTTTTCACTTAATCATGTCCCCAGTGGCTGGAGACAAGTTAGAGTAGTTTTTATCCCAAAAGCAGGTAGAACAGGCCACAGTACGGCTAAAGATTATAGACCTATCAGTCTTACTTCATTCTTACTTAAAACTATTGAAAGACTGATCGATGCTTACATCAGATCTTTACACAGTTTCGCTAAAATATCAAAGGCTCGACATGCATATCTCAAAGGGAAGTCCACAGAAACGGCACTACATGAGGTTGTTACTGTGGTGAAAGAATTCTCTTGGATGTAAACAATTTTTGTGGAAACTATTCAGGATGCTCTCAGCGAAATGAACATCCCGGCCTGCATTTCCCGATGGATCGCTTCTATGCTTGGGTTTAGAATCATCAATGCAGAGATGGGCAATCTTAGCATTAAGAAATGCGTCAGTAGGGGTACACCACAAGGGGGAGTGTTATCTCCCTTATTATGGATTTTAACAATGAACACACTGCTTTTAAGGCTTAACCAGGGTGGAGTCGAAGCAGTAGCGTATGCGGATGATGTTGTCCTTCTGGTAACAGGCATGTTCCCTTCGGTGCTGAGTAGCATCATGGAGGGGGCTTTTCTGAACCTTAGTAAATGAGCCTCAAGGTGTGACGTAGGTGTTAATCCTTCTAAGACAGAACTGTTACTGTTTACCAAAAAATATAAAATTCCTAACTTTCCGCTGCCAAAATTAAATGGACAAAGATTAACTCTTTCGCACAAAGTTAAGTATCTAGGAGTAATTCTTGACACAAAACTTAACTGGAAAGCCAACAACGACGAAAGAATTCGTAATGCTTGTATGGCATTCTATGCGTGCAAAAGGATGTACGGTAAAAGCTGGGGATTGCAGCCCAAAGTGATTCTCTGGCTTTACACAGCCGTCGTTCGGCCAATATTAACATATGGATGTCTGGTGTGGTAGCCTTCGTTGAACAAACAGTACATTGTTCAAAGACTAACCAGAACGCAAAGATCTGCCTGTGTGGGAGCTACAGGGGCTCTAAGATCTTGCCCCACCAGTGCGCTTAATGTCATATTTAACTTGCTACCTATTGATATTTACATCAAGCAAGCTGCTACTCTCAGCGCGCAGAGGCTTAAAGATCTAAACTGTTGGCGCTTTAGTGCTTTAGGACATGGTAATATCGCATCACTCTATCCGATAGATGATGCCAGGGATTCAGACTACCTATGTCCTCGGTTACTATTCGACAATAACTTCGCCACCAAAATTCCTTCAAGGGGGGATTGGGAGGCGGGATTGCTTACAACTCCAGGAAAGATAGCGATCTACACCAACGGGTCTAAAATGGATGAGGGCGTTGGAGCCGGAATCTTTTCTACGGACCTAATGATTAGTAAATCATACCACCTTTCAGATTCCACCTCAATATTTCAGGCTGAAGTTTTTGCCATCTTTAGGGCAAGTGTTCTTGCTTTAAATATTCGCCTTCACGGAAAAGAGGTCTGCATTCTAACTGACAGTCAGACAGCTATTAAAGCTTTATCAGCAGTCTGTCTGTCATCGAGATTAGTAGAAGAATGTAAGGAAATTATCAGTGAACTAAGTGAGAGGTCCAAGGTTACTCTAGTATGGGTTCCCGGGCATTCTAATATTGTGGGAAATGAGCGCGCTGACGAGCTTGCTAAGCTAGGCGCCTCTTCCACGGATACCCCTATTTCGATCCCTGCCCCTGTCAGCTACGGACGTAGGCTGATTTGTGAACATTTTTTGCGACAGGCAAATAGTGAGTGGACCCTTACTATCTCAGCAGCCAGGTCAAGGGCTACTTGGCCCATCTATTCCAAATATAGAACCTCTGACTAAATCTGTAGAAACAAATCTGAGGTTTCTAAGCTAATATCTGTCTTTACGGGTCACTGGTCCATAGGACGGCATGGAGCTAGACTTGGCCTTCCCTGTGGTACCTCATGTAGTGCGTGTCTACCAATACTTGAGAAAATGACACCAGAACACCTGATGTGTTTTTGTCCAGGTCTGGTCAGAACTAGGTTTAAGTTTCTAGGGGCCCCTTTCTTCAACTCACTTAGCGATATCTCCAACATCAGCATTAGCCAGATTCTTGCCTTTGTTAATGCCTCTGGTTGGTTCTAGTTTGACCCTCTATCTACTACCCACTAATACGAGGTTTTGGTAGGCTTAAAACGGCTTTCATCCTTAGCTATTTGAAGAGGATTCGTCCTCCCTCCACCACAACTAACTAACTAACTAACCCACCCTCAAATCACTATCCGCTGCGCACAACACTTTCGCATATACTTTTTGTGTTTTTGTGATGATGTCATTCACTTCGCAAAAATCCTACGAAGTTTAATGCACAAGTATGCAGGGAAAAAAAGTTTGATTGCATACGCATTATAAAAATACATGAAACTTTTTTCTTTTGCTTTAGGATTACATACATATAACCACGTGCATTATTAGCAAATGGCGACAGACAGACGGGTGGGGAAAAAATGTATTTTAAGTCTCCGTTTTACACATATTTGGATGTATTGTTTAGAACTAAATTGAAATCAATGTATATATGTACATAAAAAAATAAGTAAAACCAATTAATACATATATTTAATAAATAAATGCTTATTAAAAATTATTAAAAGCATATAAAGCATAAACTTGATGATTGCATGCCCATAGAAAAAATACATGAAACTATTGTGACGCTAGCTATATTTTATACCTATGCACATACATACATAGTCTGATTAAAAGTAAATACTTGTAAAAGCAAATATAATCATATAAAATTAAAATAAATTAAAAATGTGATTGCTTTTTAATTTTTATGGATAAAAATTAACATGTAAAATATGAAAACTACATCAACATAAAATTGTATATTTTTTATACTTATTTATTGTCTTATATCTGATACGAATTTTATAATTTGTCTAATTGACAGATTCTAGTACATGTCACCTGTTTATAGTTCACTAAATAAATTTTAATTTTATTTTATCTATTTATATATTTTCCTTCTTTTTTAATTTCCATTAATTATATGTTCAATATGTTTTTTATATCAAGAGTTTAGAAAGCTATAGTGTTATAAAATTGCTTTCCCTTTTTTTATTCCGCCACTGAATTTTTTTTGCATAAACATTGACAGATTCTAAACATATCAAGCATTTCCAAAAAGAAATGGTTTGTAACACTGATAAGTGTTCTTGTTAGACTCAAAATTTCGATCGAACAATTCCATCTACTTTGAATTTCCTCCGCTTTTGGCGCTCTGACACAATTTATTTATTTAAAAAAATTGAATTTTTGATAAAAAATAGAGAAATTTTTAAAAAATGATTATAAAAAGACTGCATGCACGATTTTTAAGTTTTTTAGCTTTTTGAAAAGGAATTTCTTCATCTTTATGGTGATGTATAGATGATTGAGGGGCCGTTTATGCACGAAAAGTTGTTTCCATATATAAATAATGCATACCATGAAAAAAATTCCTTATTTTTATTGAAATTTCTATGATATGATTGAAATATTTTGTTGATATTTTACAATTATGCATTATATTGTATATCTTAACATTTCTCATCTTTACTTTTTTAAAAACAAGTGTTTTAAAAGAAATAATAATTTTCATGTTTGATTAAATTTTCTGGGGTGAAGACAAAATCAATCTTTTTGATTTATGTTGCAATTGAAAGTGTGTTTTATTATCTTTAAAGGTTTTCGCGTGCAATTGGATTTATATTATAGTTATTTTTTAATTAATATTTTGAGATACGATAGTCGCTTTTTCTATTCAAATTTTCATTAATTTATTTATTCGCAATACTTGCGTAAAAAAATACAAACATCATATTTATACTTGAAATTTAGATGGCGCTGGCATGCCAGCCTTTAGTTTGCTCCGTATTTGGCGCTGTGAGGGTGGAGGTTTTTTTCAAATAATTGGATTTTAGGTAAAAAATGAACAGTTTTTCAAAAATAATTGTGGAAAAACTGTAAGTACGCTTTTTATGATTTTACTGTCTTTGGAAAGGAAATTTTATTCACTTTGAAGAAAAACTAATTCCATTGCGGGACCATTTTTGCACGCGCGGATATAATGATTACAGTAAAGTAAGCTAAAAAAAATGCCATTTTTTATCAATTTTTTATGATAAAATTAAAATATCTAATTGAGGTTTTAAAATTGTGTTTTGTGATATATTTGTGAACATTTTGCATTTTTAGTTTTTTGATTTGGATGATATTTAAGCAGTTTTGATATCGCACTTTAAATCGATTTTGCGCAAATTCTGTATGTACGATTTTTCTGGTTTTTACTTTAATTGAAAACTTGTTTTAATACCTTTCAGATAAGTATCGGTGCAAGTCGGTCCCGTTTGTGGTTGTTTTTTAATTATTTTTTAAGTAAAAAAAGTCAGTTTTTTCATAAAATTTGATTTTTTTATTTTTTGAATATCTCAGCTATTACGCAACATACAGTTATGAGGTATATACCAAATAAGAGATAATTGAATTTTCTATCTAAATTGGTGAAAAAGCTTAAATTTGGGTAATTTTGACAAATTAATAAACTTAGAAAAATTTCGTGTTCCAATTCCGGCTTGGTCCTCTCAGCGTCGTTGCTATCTAGGTTCAGGTGTCAAAATTAGCCATATTTAAGCTTTTTCGGTGGGAGCAGTATTATTATTGATCTATGGAGAAAAAGGAAAATGTATCGCAAAATTGGTCAAATCGTTAAGCGGTCACATTCTTTTATCCAAAGAGTAGTGAACAACTACAACTAAACAGGATTACTGACCTCGAAGTTGGGATCTGGGCGTCCATCCAAGCTGTCAACAAGAGAAACCCGCAGCAATATTAATTCATTGAAAGATGATCCTCGTCTAACTGGACTTCTGTTATAGAAATATATTGACCAGACATTCCAGAAGCTAATTCACGTGGATACTGTACACAAAATATTAAAATAATGCTACCACCATGGCCGGTTTGCACGAAGCAAGCCGCTTATTTCCAAAGATATTAGAATGAAGTGTTTAGCATTTGCAAGGGAGTATTTAAATAAGTCTCCAGAATTTTGGAAACGCATAATTTTTTCAGACGAAAGCAAATTTTGTCTCTTTAGCATCAAAGGTCGAACGATTATATGGCGAATCCCAGGTACTGCCTTTAATAATGAAGATTTGTATTCAATAATAAGACATGATCGTGGAGGAGTAATAGAGCGGGAGTGTATGGCGAGTAATAGAGTGAGAAAAATGAAATTCATTGAGTCGATAATGAATAAAGAAGATCATTTAAATGTTTTAAAATGCAATTTAAAGAGCAGTGGATAAGAGTCGATAATGAATAAAGATGATCATTTAAATGTTTTAAAATGCAATTTAAAGAGCAGTGCCAAGAAGTTAGGGTTACAGAATAATTACTTACATCAATAAGATAACGACCCAAAGCACACGGCAGAAGTTGTAAAGCTTCGGTTGCTTTAAAATGTGCCCAAGCAAATCAAAACGTCATCATAATCGTCATATTTGAATCCTATAGAAAGAATCCATTTCCTCCAAAGAAATGCTGAAGAACGTGAGCAACGCCTAATGGGGGTAAAATAAGCAGCAATGAGACTGCGAAGTTGGTCAATTCGATACCAAAACGACTTATGGAGGTCATACTGAAAATATAAAATCTTTTAAAAAATAATATATTTCGACGCTTTTTAAACTCTTGTATACAGACTTTTTCTGCCACAGTTAGCGCTGATTTTTTACATTTTTAATTATTATAATTTTTCAACGAATCTGTTAGAAATAATTTTTACCTTAAAATGAAGATAACAAATAAAAGTACTAATAAAAAATTAAATTCATTTAAAAAATTTATTTATTTAATAATTTTTTATATGTTGAAACAAAATTTACTTTCTGTATGTTGCACAATAGCTGAAATATTCAAAAAACAAAAAAAAACAAATTTAAAAAAAAAAGATATTTTTTTTATTAAAATATTATATTAAAAAACAATCTGAAACGGGACCGACATACACAAATATTTATATGAAAATTGCTTTAATATGATCCAAATTAAAAAACTAAAAATGAAAAATGTTCAAATATACATCACCAAACATAATTTTAAAACCTCAATAACATATTTTAATTTTATCACAAAAAATTGATAAAAAAGTAATATTTTTTAGCGGGACAGAAATGGCATTAATTTTCCTTTAAAGAAAATTTACTTTTCAAAAAACTCAAAATCATAAAAATCGTGTGAACAGTTTTTTCACAATAATTTTTTAAAAATTGTCCATTTTTTACCAAAAATCCAATTTATTGAAAAAAAACCTGCACATTTACAGCGCCAAATGCGGAGCAAACTTTAGGCAGGTATGCCAATGTCATTTAAATTTAAAGTATATATAAATTTAAGTATAATATATGAGTTTATAAAAAACTGAAAAGAAAAAGCGACTTTTTTTTATCTAAAAAGACTAATTTAAAAAAAAAACTATAATAAAAATCCAAATGCACACGAAAACTTTAAAAGACAATAATACACACTTTCAATTGCAAAAAAAAAAAAAATCAGAAAGATTGCGTTTGTCTTTACGCCAGGAAATTTAATCAAAAATGAAAATTATTATTTCTTTCAAAATACTTATTTTTAAATAAGTGAAGATGAGAAATGTGAAGTTATATATTATAAAGCATAATTGTAAAATATCAACAACACATTTTATTCATATCATAGAAATTTCATTAAAAATAAAGAATTTTTTTATGATATTCATTAATACATCGTAATGAATTTTTGTGCTAAGAGGGGACCGTAATCACATATACATCCTCATAAAAATGAAGAAATTTTCTTTTCAAAAAGCTAAAAATCTTAAAAATCGTGTCAACAGTTTTTTATAATCATTTTTAAAAATTTGTTTAAAAATGCATAAATAAATTCAATCATAGCGCAAAAAAGTAGATTGGTTAAAAGTAGAATAGTTCAATCTATACAGAGGGGTGGTGTCTAACAAAAACATATATTAGTGTTAAAAACCATTTCTTATTAGAAATACATGAAATGTTTGAAATTGTCAACGTTTATATAAAAATATTTCAGTGGCGACAATATAATAAAGATAAATCAATTTTATGACACACCATAGGTTTCTAAACGTAAGATTTAAAAACGTAATAAACACATTATTAAAAATAAATAAAAAATGAGGAAAATGTATAAATAGATAAAATAAAAGTAAAACTTATTTAGTGAACTATAAATGGGTGACATGTACGGATGACAATCTGTCATTCAGACATTGATGTTTTTATTACTGCAATTTTGTGTTGATGTACTTCTAGTGGTTGTTGTAGTTTCTTCATTTTATCTACTTTATTTACCTAAATATTACAAATTATTCTGATTAACACCTCTTCCAATAACAATGGCAGAAGACGCGACCGTTGGAACTCTCTTTTTTCTTTTTGACAGTTTTTTATAATATTCTTTTTGCTACTACAGTACTCGTACTCCCCCTTGAGTGGCGAAGTCACTGAAATTGGTTGTGTTATAATCTAGTATGTTTTGCATTAGTTTAAGCAATCTTAAATAATGAAATGTAAACAAAATTTAGTTAAATATAAACTGTCAATCGTGTCGGTGGTATTGAAGTAAATACATTTACTACTTTGGCGACGAGGATAAAAATCTGCAATTATTCAATCGCTTTCACGCTTATTTCGTACCGTTCAATTTTAAATACAATCATGCCGGGCGAAAGTGAAATTTATAAGCAATTGCTTAAAGAACAACAAGAGTTCTCAAAAAATTTACTGAAACAACAACGTGAGTGGATGGACTCAATGTTCCAAAAACAAGGTACTGCCGGTGTATCTGAAAGAAATAACAACATTGTTCCAGTATTTCACAAATTTTCGAAACCAGCAAACCTGGGAATCGTATTTAGAACAACTTAACCAACATTTTTTAGCATAATTAGTTCAGTGCAGTGAAAAACAAAAATCATTTTTCTTGTCTTGGATTGGCCCAGAAAATTTTGAGCTGCTAAAAAATCTTTTCGGTAACACGAAAATACAGGAACAATCTTTCGAAAATTTAACGGAAACACTAACGGATCGTTTCCAGTCGAAACGACATGTGGTCGCTACACGTTACGATTTTTTCAAAAGGGAAATGAAGCCACATCAATCATACAGAGAGTGGGTAGCCGATCTCCGCGGATTGGCAAGAGAGTGTAACTTTTCGTGCTCAGCCCAGAATTGTTTGCACAATTTCGTGGATGATATGATTCGTGACCAAATTATTATACGTACACCTCACGATGCTGTGCGCACGGCTGCGTTCCAAAAGCCCCAACCGACACTTGCTGATGTTTTGCAGATTGCAGAATTGTACGAAACAACCACTAAAACGGTGGCAACAATTAAACAACAAACGATCGAAAACTCAATGCCTGTTAATTCAGTTGGTACAATTATAAAAAAACCGGGTGTTTTCAACAATAACAATAATAAAGTAAAATTCAAATCATGTTCTGGCTGTGGAAACTCTTATGCAAGAGAAAACTGTAAATTTAGAAATGCTGTATGCAATAGATGTAGCAAAATTGGACATATTGCGCCAGTGTGCATGTCAAAACAAAACAAGAACAACAAACGTAATTCAGGTGATGAAAACAAGAAGAAAGATTACCGTCGTAAAAGTCACAACATTGGTACTGTTGAAACAATTAACAGTTTAACAGGTATTGTAAAAACTGAAAGCAATAAGAATTACATTGACTTGGAAATTTGTAATAAAATTGTGTCTTTCCAAATGGATTCTGGTGCAACAGTTTCTCTAATAAATAAGCGAACATTCAAAACTCTAAATTGCCCAAAGTTGCGAAATTGTACAAAAACCTTATTTGGTTTTGGCAAAAATGAAATTCCAGTGCTTGGTGAACTTTGCGTAGATATCAAATGTGGCGGAGAAGAAAGGGAAGTGGTAATCGTTGTCGTGGATGTCGAAAACTGTAACAATTTATTCGGTTTCGATTTATTTAAAGAATTCGGGTTTGAGATTCAGCAAATTTGTAACATTACTGAAAGTGAATCACACAGAATTAGCGAGCTGTGTAAGAAATATGGTGATATTTTTGAACCAGCTCTTGGCACAATAAAAAACTTTAAGGTCAGTATTTTTTTAAAGCCCAATGCACATCCGAAATTTTACAAAAGCTGACAAATTCCATTTTCGCAAATGTCACTTTTCAAGAAAGAAGTCGATCGATTGACAAATGCGGGTATTTGGAAACCTGTGAAGTTTTCCCAATGGGCTTCGCCTATTGTACTAGCGCCAAAAGCTGATGGTTTCATAAGAATTTGTGGGGATTTTAAACAAGCAGTCAATGCGCAAATTGACATTGAACAATATCCTTTGCCCATACGCGAAAGTCTTTTCCATAAAATTAAATACGGTCAACATTTTACAAAAATCGACCTTAAGGACGCGTATTTACAAATGGAATTCGACGATGAAGCAAAAACAATAGTGGTTGTCAACACTCCACTTGGGTTATTCCAATACCAACGTTTACCGTTTGGGATTGCAAGCGCTCCAGCTATATTCCAAAGATATCTTGAGCAGTTACTTCAAGGCGTAGATGGTTGCGGAAATTATCTCGATGACATCATCATCTCCGCACCTACATTTCAACAACACATCAGCCGCCTAGTACAAGTACTTCGTATTTTGCAACAAAATGGTATCAGGTGCAAGCAAGAAAAATGTTTCTTTCTGCGAGATGAAATCGAATATCTCGGGCGTCAAATTAGTGCAAAAGGTATATTGCCAGATGAGTCAGGACTAAAAGCAGTCAAAAACCTGCAGCCGCCTAAAGATCTAAAGCAAGCAGAAGCATTCATGGGTAAGGTAAATTATTACCATAATTTTATACCTAATTTTTCGCAATTATCTGCGCCAATCAACATGCTGCGCCGAAAAAATGTAAAATTCACATGGGGTACAGCACAACAACAAGCATTTATAGCTCTTAAAACGCATATTCTCAATGCAGCGCAATTAGCACATTATCAGGAAGATTTACCGTTGGTTCTAGCTACAGATGCCTCCTCCTATGGCATAGGAGTCGTGCTCTCGCATACGTACGTTGACGGTACAGAAAGACCTATTGCTTTTGCATCTAAAACTCTCGACATTCATCAACGACGAATGTCGTTGAAGAAGAAGAAGATTCACCTTGGTTACTGACCACAAATCTCTTGTTAGCATTTTTAATCCAATTCATCAGTTGCCGTCGATGACGTCACATCGTTTACAGCGATGGGCTATTATACTAATGGCTTATCAGTATGATGTTCGGTATCGTAAAACTACTGAGCATGGAAATGCCGATGCTTTATCTCGTTTACCTGTTGGTGAAGATAAAATTTTTGATCATGAAGAATCCTGTTTCAACATCAATGAATTTAACACACCTATCGACGCTGAAATAATTCGTCAGCATGCCAAAAATGACCCAATTCTTCGCCGAGTTTATTTTCTCGTTACAAACGGTTGGCCTGAAAAGCTAATGCCTCAAGATGCTGATCTTCGATCATTTTTCAATCATCGCTTTGCTTTAATACTAAACAACAATTTGCTTTGCCTCCAGACGGAGTACAACCGGGTTGTCATTCCAGCCTCCCTTAAGCAGAAAGTTCTTAAACTTCTTCATGATGGTCATTGGGGAGTATCGAGAATGAAACAGCTAGCTCGACAACATGTCTGGTGGACTAATATTGACAAAGACATCGCACAATTAACTGAAAATTGTGATGTGTGCAAAATTGCAAATCCTGTTCACGCACGTGAATACGTAAGCTGGCCTGAAGCTGATCGACCTTGGGAGAGAGTACATATCGACTTTGCTGGTCCATTTTGTAATTCAATGTGGCTAATTTGTGTCGACGCTTTCTCGCAATTTCCGTTCGTTGTACAACTATCTACAACAACAACGGTTGACACCATATCAGCATTGTCTTCTATATTTTCTCAGGAAGGTATACCAGAAACCATCGTAAGTGACAATGGTCCGCAATTTACAGCTGAAGCATTCAAACATTTTTGCTCAAAACTTGGCATCAAACATATAACAACAGCGCCGTTTCATCCAGCCTCAAACGGGTTAGCCGAACGATTCGTCAGATCTTTTAAAACTGCTGTTAAGAAAAACATTGACGATGGATTGTCTCTCAAATTCGCTGTATCAAAATACCTTGCAACATATCGTGCAATGCCGAATGCTGAAGGTAAATCACCTGCAGAACTTTTACATGGAAGGCCTGTTCGTACCCTGTTGAGTCAACTGTTTGAATCGCCTAGGAAGCACCTTGAAGCTTCGAAACGGAAAATGAAATTCAGTCTAAAGCAACCCGTCTTCGCTCGAAACTACGCAAGAGGGCAAAAATGGATAAAAGGAGTTATTGTGAAACAACTTGGTAAAATGGTTTACCGAGTGAACACATCTTTTGGTTACATCAAACGTCATGTTAATCAGCTTAAAACTAGAAGTAGCTCTGACCTCTCTTCACAACCAATTTTTGAATTCGCTCCAAATTTCATCAATGCCACACCGCCTTCATCTAGCCAATCAACATTAATGCCTAGTGAAGAACGTTCTACCGAAGTAGTTCAACTTCGAAAAAGTGGTCGTATTCGGAAGGATGTAATTCGATTTGAATCCGACGATTTCAGGAAAACTTAAACTTTGTCAAAAATTAAGGGCGGAGAAAGTGTTATAATCTAGTATGTTTTGCATTAGTTTAAGCAATCTTAAATAATGAAATGTAAACAAAATTTAGTTAAATATAAACTGTCAATCGTGTCGGTTGTATTTACTTCAGGTTGGAAAAGAAACGTTGCGTCCTGATCTTGTCAGGTCAGCTGTTGTATTTGGTCGTAAAAACTGGTTGCAATTTACGTTGTTTGGAGTGGGGTATACCACTGATTTGTTGTGGATGTCAATGTCTGTATCGGGAAATATGAAAGCCGCTTTAAGGCTATCTATGCTGATTGTTGTTTTCTTTGTTTTCGATCAGTATTTTAAATGAATTGTCGTTCCGCTCGAGTATTTGGTATGAGCAGTCGTAAGGTTGCGTTAGCGGTGATTTTACCTTGTCATTTTGTATAAACGCATGCGTGGCTGAGCTTAAAGCCGATTGTATGTGGTAACCTCAGTCTGTATGATGCAATGCTAACGTTGACTTGATGTTCTATATTTGTTCACTTAGCTTGGTTATAAAATCGTGTTGATTTGTATTTTTGTGGCTAAGGTTGCTTACTATTTCGCCCGGTAAACGTAGTATTTGCCCATATAGCATTTCAGCGGCAGAAGCTTCAATGGCTGCCCAAGAAGTTGTTTGATGGCACATTAAGGCTGTTCTTAATATGCAATAAAATCGTTCCACCATTTCGTTACTGTGAGGATGGTAATTCGTAGTGCGTAAGTGTTTGCAGCCGAAAAATTCAGCTAGTTGGTTGAATAAGGAAGATTAAAATTACTCAATGGTGCAATTCATTGAGTAATCAGTGCGTTTGCGATGATTTTCGTCGTTTGATCGGGAATCAGAATTGCTTCTGGCCAATGGCTGAGACGGTCGATGATGGTTAATATATATGTGCAGTTTTTTGATGGCGGTAGCGGACCGACGATGACTATATTTATATTTTCGAATGTGCGCAACAGCGGAGAAGCTATCACCAATTCCAAATAATTTTGTGGAAGAATTCCTCGAGATGACAACGTTGTTGAAGCAAATGATGCAACAAATCGTAGTAATGACAAATTTACTGATCAACTTGACGACTAAACAAAATTCTTGATTTAGTAGTAGTCATATGGAACGCTAATGGTCTATCAGAACATGCTGTTGAAATCAAAGCATTCTTAAAAATAAACCAGGTCGACATAATGATAGTATCAGAAACCCATTTTACGATGCGTAGTTTCTTTAAAATTCCGAACTACGAACTTTATCACACAATACATCCCAATGATAAAGGAAATGGTGGCTCTGTGATCCTCATAAGAAAATCGATAAAACATTATGACATTATTTATAAAACATTATTGTAGTACAAACTAAAGAAGGTGATATGACTTTCTCATCACTCTACAGCCCACCGCGTCACAGTATTACGAAGAATATGTACATATCATTTTTTCAGTTTATTGGATCTAGGTTTCTAGTAGGCGGAGATTTTAATGCTAAACACTTAAAATGGGGTTCCCGCCTAATATCTCCAAAAGAACGACAACTCTACGAAGCAATAAATGTACTCAATCCACACACAATCTCAACAGGTGAACCCACATATTGGCCAACGGATAAAAGAAAAATACCTGACTTAATTGATTTTGCGGTATCAAAGGGGGTATGTATCGAGACAACTACCTGTAAGTCCAATTTCGATTTGTCATCTGACCACTCGCCAATAATAATCACTCTCAATGACTGCTGTGAAATTATGGAAAAATGTATTCTTCATAACAAAAATACTGACTGGAACAGTTATCGTCAACTAATTACAATTGGTGTAAATACCGAAATTAGGTTGAAAACTGGATCTGATGTAACTGAAGCAGTAGAGCATTTCAACTCTTGTGTCCAAATAAAACTTTTAATGGCACAATTACATCTGCTAAGTGGGACCTAATTGAGCTCAAGCTCCTTGACATTTATGTCGATCTACTGAAGGACTTTGCTGGAGACGGTCCCACTTGTCGCGATAGTGGATCGCATCAGGGCCATGTGAAACTTATCGCCTGCGCGGATCAGCGTTCTGTTGATCTTTTCAGTAAAGCCATTTCCAGAATTGGTGAGGCATGGCCAGGCGCCAAACTTAAGGTTGTTACTAAGGAGCAAATCCCAAGTCGACAAAGAGCGCGTTCCTGGATACCAGCCCATCAGTCCGATCCTCAGCGGATTCTGGAACTTATTCGGTTAGGAAACCGACAGTTAAACACATCAACGTGGAAGATTACGAAGCTGGAGGAAGTCAAGGGTAAATATAGGTCGGTCAGTTTTGTGATTGACAAAGCATCTTTGGCCACTTTGGCGAAATCAAATGGTGTTATTAACTACGGTTTCTCAGCCATCACAATGTGGGTATATAAAAAGAACGAGGAGCAATCTTTACGTAATGATACGGGTCCAGCAGCACCGCAAGGCTCTGTTGATACCATAATGGAAGCGGGCGAGATAGTACCTGCTACCGCAAACTCGGTGAGCCCAGTAGAAATACTGCCTGCCTCTTCTGATTCACTGAATATAGACGTGACTATGTCCTCTCCAACTCCCTCAATTACATCTGAAGAGAGTATTGGTACGCGCTATCTTTTTGACGAAAAAGCACTTTTGAACTCTGGTAATGAATCTGAGGAAGATAGCATGCTTAATGTAACAGTGGTGGACAGTACCACATCCAAAGCAAATCATTATGCGGATACTACAAATTAACTTGCACCATTGCAAGTCTGCGTTCGCCAGCTTGCTGCAATGCCTCAGTAACAACGAGGCTGATATGGTCCTGGTGCAAGAGCCATGGGCTTTCAAGGATCTTGTATGCAGACTCAGGACTAAAAACTTTGACTTAATATATACGGTAAACAAGGGTAAGCCTAGATCCTGCATATTAATAAATAAAACATATAACGCTCTCATGCTTTCGCAAAGACCTAACCGCAGTAAGTATAGAGGGACCTTGGGGCCAGATATGGACGGTATCTGCATATATGGCTCATGATCACGAAGAATTACCATCAAGTAGCCTGAAACAGCTGACAATTGACGCTAGGAGACTTGGTGCAGATATCATTTTGGGTTGCGACGCAAGTGCTCACCATGAAATATGGGGCAGCTCAAATACAAATGATCGTGGTGAGTTACTTTTCGATTTTATTTTTAGTAATAATCTCTTTATATGTAATGACGGTAATAGGCCGACTTTTGTTACCAAAAACAGGCAGGAGGTTCTAGATATCATCGTGACTACTGCCAAAATTCATGAGTATATCAGAAAATGGAAAGTGTCCACTAGACACTCTTTTTCGGATCATATGATTTTAGAATTTTCTATAGACTTAAAGAAATCAAGTACCCCCAGTTTAGAAACTTTCAGAAATGTCAGGAATATAAATTGGACAAAGTACGAATCATCTATAAATGAGCTGTTGACAAACACTGCTCTTTACCCTCCAAAGAATATAA